TTCACAAATTCAACCCATGTCATTTATGGGTTTATCAAACCTAAGATCACTGTAAGTTTCTACTTTTGCTTGCAAAATTCGAGATAGAAAACATGTCATGGCCGAGTAGTAGTCTCATGCTATTACTATTTGTCCGCCTACGTAGCCCAAAATTTGAGTTAACAAAAGTTGAGTAATTCCCTAATAAGATACAATCTTATACTAGAAACAGTACAAGTACACCTTTTCATTCTATTAGCCACCTGCCGCACTACTAGGATGAGCTGAAAGAATTACAAAACACTTTTGTAATAGATTTAGGGTGCTGTCACAAACTGGCTCTGTGATAAAGATAACGTAAACAAATCTCTAAATTAATGCAGTCTCTGGGATTCAGTATCCTTTAACTATCTCACAAGGATTTAGACGCCTTTGCTTCTACGTTAAACAACTATAAAACTCTTCTTTTATTCAAATATTTGCCGAGCTTAAATACCCCTCAGTAGTTGTTATCATGTATGAGTCATAACAGTTCATGAAATTTAGTTTATGTTGAATAGCTAAATTAATACAGAAATTATTCACAATTTTAGCCATGTACTGAACGATTCTAGATAATTAGATTACAAAACGTCCATACACAGAATTATTTATAGTATCCTTTATGATTGAATATCTTTAGGATTTTCATCAAAAGCGATACAAGACATAACACTTTTATCAATTAACATTAGCTACCGTATAGAAATTCTTACTACAGTACAGCATAACTTACTATAACAAAATAATAACTACCGTCGTTCTTACTGTAAGTTATTATTAGCTATCTCCATATATAAATCTTAACCGCTAAATTCAGTCATTTACTCTTCACGATGGTTCGTACCGTGACAAGTGTGTAGACGAAATCTATAAGACACTTTAATTAAATGCTTTTATTTCTAATAATTAATAGCGCAATGACTGACAACAATGTTGATGAAAGTTCGCCTTGGATTTTATATTCTTTGTACAAATTAGAATCATTGTAAGAAATATTATTCTTAAAATATATTAGTAGTAATTTATGTTAGCGTAATTTGACCCTAACTCTTCTGACTTCTTGATTGCAGAGTTATAACAAATACTGGCTTTTCAAACGCTTCTTACGATGTTTTCCATAATCTAACTCATCTACGATCCTTGTAAGTAGTTTAGAATGACTTTACTGACTTGCATGGTAAAAAATAATGTCTATACGGAGAACAATAATTTCCAGATGGAAAATTCTTACCAAAGTTAAACTTTCCATCTGTTTGGAAATTTCTGTGAGTTTCTAAAATGTATACTACAAGTACAACCCAGTACTATACTAGGGTATTGTTACAATTAATTAATTCTTGCGTCTTCAATGATATAATTTTATTAAGTAATAAATCACATGTTCACACCAAACCATTAATTTAATTTACTACTATTAAATGTCATAGAAAGTGTATTGTAATTTTAGCTAAATTCAGTATGTAGATTTGGCTATAAATTTATTATTGCTATGCGCCAACGAAGTTTGTGAGGCTATATAAAAGCCACAAAGCTCTTAATTTAGGGAGTTAACAAGTTAATCGATAAGAGATGGTTACCAGTTGTTAGTATTAGAATGTAAGTTGTGAGCTCAATCGGTCATTTTAATAAATAGTTTATAAAATAAAGTTTTGATTTTTCACGTAAGTTTTCTATCGCCTAAGACTCGAATTTAAGTTTGGTAGATTAAAGAGTGCATAGCGTTAGTTGCTTAGATTATTAAGACTACTAGAGAGGAAAGAATACCTATAATTTTTGTATTGTAATCTTGGTTGTGACAGGTATATTAGTCTTTTCTGTTCATAGTTTACTATCAAATTGACTCTTCATTTGCTATATCATTGTTACAGTGTTAAATACTGTATTACAGTAGAAATAACTATGTTAGGATAATTCTGTTAGACTATCCTTATTTAGTTAACTTTTAATTTGGGTATACTGTATTTTAATATAGCACTGACTTTTTATGACAGTGACACTTATGCACATACTGAAATTAATAGTTATAATAGGGAATGCAAATCATCTGCTTACAGTTCGAATCATTGTGATTGTAATTTACTTATGGTAGACTGTAAATTATCATGGAAATATTCCGTGATAGGACATATCGTAATCTGACTATTCTGTATTAGTCATTACATGTCTATGTTTGTAAATACTGTTGTCTGCATTAAGGGAGCATTAGCTAAAATTAATATCTAACTCAGTAAATGATTCTAATGTTAATTGTATTAACTATGGCTCATGAACTATTGAGGAAGAGTATATAAATGCAGTATATCGTGAAATAAAGAAGAATTGTCCAACTTAGTGTTTAACGTAAAATATGAGGCGTTTAAGTCTTTGTGTAGTCTGCTAGTAGAGCAAAAGTGTTTGTGATAGTGCAGATATCGTTCCTTGATACGTGGTTCAAGGAATTGACTTATTGATCGTATATTGTGTTATCTTGTTGCAAAGCTGTTTTGTGACAATCATATCTGCAACTACAGTCTGTCAATAATGCTACGATCAATTACATAATATAACACACATTAAATAATAGAACGAGCACCGATTAAATTATTAACTTCAGTAATTAATAAGTTAGCGCATGTACTCTGTCTTACTGGCATGCAACCAGTCTAGGAATCAAAGTAATATTGTATCACTGATCAGTTTACCAGTAAAAACTACGTAAGAAATCGTTCCTAATAAATTTGTTAAATTGGAGATATACAACAAGTATAATAAATTATTATTACTTACATATGATACCTAGCTGTTGTTCTCATTATTTTAATGGACCATATGAAGTAATGAAATTTATTCTTAAGTTTTAAATTAACTTTAATATTGGATAACCTTTGGCTAAAATTCGTTATACAATTTTAGAAACATTGCCGGTTGCGGTCTCAAAAAGATTAAAGCAAGTTTATTCAAAAACTTGAATCTATTAACAAACTTGTAAGCTTTCCATAAATGATTTTACTTTCCAGTTCGATATAATTTAATTACGGTACAGATATATGTATATATATTATACATATACTATATCTTAAAATTCTATATAGCAAGATCTCTTATTTATTGCAACAAATGAAGGTTTATTTATTTAGTAAATGTATCCTTTACGTTTAATTTGAAGAATACATTGCAATTCTAAAATCTTATTATTAGATGCTGGAGCTCCATTTTATCAACTTAGATTACTGAGTCATACATTGATGATTTTAAAAACAAATCATATTTGCATATAATTTTAGTCATTGTTTTAGACATTTGATAACCTAGTTTCTTCGCCTCGAGTAGGCAAATAATATCTGTTTGCCTAACGGTGCATAAACTAGAGCTTGAATTATTTCATATACATACATGTACTAAATAAACATATTTAGAGGGTTATTCTAACATATTTTAAGTTAGATCACAAACTATACTGAAACTACTTGTGTAAATTGCTAGACATATCACGATAATTAGCTAAAATGGTCAAGCAAAAATAACTTAATATATACTTCATCAAGGCAGTTTATGTCATTATTGGTTTATAGTTCCTATTATTTCAAGTATATCTTTCATTTTAATTTGTTTCTCATCCTAAAAATTATTATAGAAATCTTGATAACAATGAGTTAGAAATGATCAATAACGAAACATTCTTGGGCCTATCTAATTTAAAGAAATTGTAAGTACTATGATTATAGCGTCTTCTAAACTGGAAAAATAAATTCTTTACATGCTGCTTCAGGGCATGCTAATAGACATTTTTGGATCATTCTAGAATTTGTTGTTTCCTTTAACTGATAACTGTACATACAATTAAAGGTATAAACAGCACAATCTACACCTTGCTAGTTTTCTACAAAGGCCATTTGCTACTGCCACAAAGTAACTATATTACATAGGAACCGTAACATATTTACCTACAATAACTTATACTATCGAGAAATTCTCTCGATTGCGCTTTGTCTGTAAAACTTTACATAGTCTTTTAGATAACTAAATCGTTTAATAGCAGTATTCATGCCCTGCAAATATAACTAATGTTATTAATATAGAGGTAATATAAATTTGACCAATTTTTCAATGAGATTTAGTTAAATTTCGTTTAAAGAAGACTAGTGATTTACTTTCATATCCGAATGATAGGAGATCGTCAGCATTTGGAGCCGTATTGTAGATAGATATCAAGAAGGGTAGCTTAATCATAATTCTTGAAGGAACTTCATAACGTAGTTACTATAACTTTGAGTGCCATATGAAATTAGTAAGCCTAATACTTCAGTAACTATTATTCAGTCTATTACTTTTGCATTTAAATTAACTAATGTTATCAGAGGTTTTACAACGCCTCTAAATTAGATTTATTTTCAATTCTACTTTTTATAGATCCCTTCAAATGAATAAAATATCCTATATAGCTACTAGCGCTTTTTCGATGTCGCCTTTATTGGACACATTGCAAGTTTATTGTCTTATTACTTTCTCAGTATTTCTGGATATAATTATTTAATAAATTGATTAACCATTTCAATTTTTTAGGTATCTGAGCGGCAACAATTTACTTATGAAAGATTTCTTTTCCATACAGTTCATGGGAAAAATTCTGTTCGTAAATGATAACATAATTATTTTACTAGCGATACTCTTACATTCATAGATAAATCGGTGGGATAGATCAGTGATAGCCAAGGCTCATATTTATATTGATATCACTGTCAGGCCATAAAAATGCACCAATATGTACTTTCAAATAATTTGATATCTGTAAGAACAAGCTGAAATACCCGTATCAAATATATTATACCTATTTTAATAATCCATCGATGGTTATGTTTTCTATACTATTTAATTAGACTATAGAATAATGAACAGGTCTTAGCTGTTTTAATAAATAGTCAGAGCATGTCTAAAATTCGTGTACAACTTTATATAAAACTAGTTAATCAAATACTGTACTGATTAATTAATCGTGGCAGATTCTGATAATTCATAAATCTAGTCCCTAAATTAGCTATAGAATATTTTTATA